TTCACGTTTGAAAATTGGATTGCGTTTTCATTGCCTCTCAGTATACTAATATAGTTTATGTGTGTGCTTAGAGTATTTATTAAGTTTAAATCTACCAGAATTTGTTATGAAAGTATATGGACAGGTAAAAGAATTTGTTGATTTACTTCAGATGATAGTCCTTCGCATCGGTAGAGTACTGTATTTATACTATATCTTTTTATATAACATAATAAATTGCATCTAATTTGATCATAATTGCGACAAAGAAAAAAAGTGTTGCGGGTCTTCATAGTAGTGACCACAAGGACAGCTTGGCCGAATTTATGTCTGTTTAGGTCACTGCACCCAGTCGGAGGCAGCAGTGGATAATTTGACAGAATATGGTTCTAAAATTTGTTTTAAAGAAATGTTTGTAAGTGCATGATAATGCATTCCAAAAATTTGAACAGGAGCCAATTGATTTAATTTCTTCAGACAGATTAGTCCATAACTTTGTAGCATTAGGTATAAAGGATTTTGCCTAATGTTCAGTCATACATCTAATTCTTGGGAGGTCTGAGGATTTTTTTTGCTGGTGCTAAAGTAGTTACCACTTTATTTTCAAACCATTGAAATAATGTTCCCTTAATGTTTACTAATAACTAGTTATGTGCAAATGGTTAAAATGTTAAAATGTGTGTATTCATAACAATGTTCAGTCATGTTTTGATTTTCTTAAGTGCTTTATCTGTAAACACATCCACATTGTGAGTAGACTCACTGCCTGAAGTTGATAATCTTGTGATTTGTTTAAATTAATTGTATTTTGGTTTTATGAATTTTATGTATTTGTACTCTTTCTGGATAACTTGTTTATATCATAAAGCTTATAACTGCTAATGCATTTTAGAATTCATCTCTATTGCTGCATATACTCCTCGTACTGCTTACAGTAACATAATCCTCACATCTCTATTGCTGCAAATACTCCTCATACTGCTTACATTAACATATACCTCACATCTATATTGCTGCATATACTCTTACTGCTTACAGTAACATAATCCTCACATCTCTATTGCTGCAAATACTCCTCGTACTGCTTACAGTAACATGTACCTGACATCTCTATTGCTGCAAATACTCCTCGTACTGCTTACAGTAACATAATCCTCATATCTCTATTGCTGCAAATACTCCTCGTACTGCTTACAGTAACATGTACCTGACATCTCTATTGCTGCAAATACTCCTCGTACTGCTTACAGTAACATGTACCTGACATCTCTATTGCTGCAAATACTCCTCGTACTGCTTACAGTAACATGTACCTGACATCTCTATTGCTGCAAATACTCCTCATATTGCTTACAGTAACATATACTTCACATCTCTATTGCTGCAAATACTCCTCATACTGCTTACAGTAACATAATCCTCATATCTCTATTGCTGCAAATACTCCTCGTACTGCTTACAGTAACATGTACCTGACATCTCTATTGCTGCAAATACTCCTCGTACTGCTTACAGTAACACATACCTCACATCTCTATTGCTGCAAATACTCCTCGTACTGCTTACAGTAACATGTACCTGACATCTCTATTGCTGCAAATACTCCTCATATTGCTTACAGTAACATATACTTCACATCTCTATTGCTGCAAATACTCCTCATACTGCTTACAGTAACATAATCCTCATATCTCTATTGCTGCAAATACTCCTCGTACTGCTTACAGTAACATGTACCTGACATCTCTATTGCTGCAAATACTCCTCATATTGCTTTTATGAATTTTATGTATTTGTACTCTTTCTGGATAACTTGTTTATATCATAAAGCTTATAACTGCTAATGCATTTTAGAATTCATCTCTATTGCTGCATATACTCCTCATACTGCTTACAGTAACATAATCCTCACATCTCTATTGCTGCAAATACTCCTCATACTGCTTACAGTAACATAATCCTCATATCTCTATTGCTGCAAATACTCCTCATACTGCTTACAGTAACATGTACCTGACATCTCTATTGCTGCAAATACTCCTCGTACTGCTTACAGTAACATGTACCTGACATCTCTATTGCTGCAAATACTCCTCATATTGCTTACAGTAACATATACTTCACATCTCTATTGCTGCAAATACTCCTCATACTGCTTACAGTAACATAATCCTCATATCTCTATTGCTGCAAATACTCCTCATACTGCTTACAGTAACATAATCCTCACATATCTATTGCTGCAAATACTCCTCATACTGCTTACAGTAACATAATCCTCACATATCTCTGTCACAAAACTGGCAAAACTCCGGTACCATGGTGGAACAAGGGAAATAGCAAAATCTAGGAGAGTGAGAAAGAAAGCCCTAAATAGTTCAAAAAGGGATAAATCAGCCTTCGCCCAAGTCTGAGCGGCCAGGACAAAAGTAAGACAACACATAGACGATTCTAAAAAAGAGTCATGGCAGACCTTCTGCAAATCCCTTAATGAGAAAACAAATGCTAAAACAGTCTGGAGCAAAATACACGCAATCAGGGGTAAGCGTAAACCCACAAAACTTCCCAAGTTAGCCAACGCCCATACAGTCAAAGAAAAGGCCAACATTCTAGCTGAGCACTTCTCATCTGTCAGCAGCAACACAAATTGCAGCGAAGAATTCAAACAGGAAAATATGCTTATGCTTAAGATCTCAAAACGGCCGCAAAGCAAGCATCTGGTATACAATATACCATTTACTGTGACAGAGTTTGATGATGCGATACAACATAGAAAAGGCACAGCACCTGGTCTTGACACAACAAGCTACGAGATATTGAAAAACCTACCTGATCAAACCAAAGGCTTACTCACTGAGTTGTATAACACGATATGGTCCAAAGGAGAAGTCCCAAAAGCATGGAAAACATGCTGCAGTTATCCCGCTGCTAAAGCAAGGGAAAGACGAAGCCCTACCAAACTCTTATTAACCGATCTCACTCACCTCAAACATGTGCAAAGCCATGGAAGCCATGGTTACGAAAAGGCTCATGCATCACCTTGAAACTGGCAACCACATAAAACCTGACCAAAGTGGCTTCAGGAAGGGACACTCGTGTCTAGATCATATTCTAAGACTGGAAAATGAAATAAAAAAAAGCTCAATTAAACAGACAATACCTAGCCGCAGTATTTCTAGACTTCAGCAAAGCCTTCAACATGGTATATGGCATGACGGACTCCTCTCAAAACTAGCACAAAATGGAGTAGAAGGGAACATGGCAAACTTCATAGACAGTTAAAATAGGGAACAATTGATCTGATCCTATGGCACTGGAGAATGGCACGCCCACAAGGCAGCATTATAAGCCCAACCCTGTTTAATATCATGATCAATGATCTTTTTGACCATGTCAACTCTCCTACCCAAACTTCTAAATTCGCTGATGACGGAGCAATATGGGTAAAGCACAGAGATATTTCACAAATCAGAAAAAAACTCCAGTCAGCCCTGGACGGAGTAGATCAATGGTGCAATAAATGGGGATTCATCCTTTCAAGTGTAAAAACTGTTGGAGTTCTATTCAAATGCCGGGGGAAAGATGCTATGATACCCCTATAAAAAATTCAAAAAATCTGCAACATTTCTTTGGGTGATCCTTGATCAACACCTCACTTGGCACAAACATATAGAATATGTAGAAAACAGATGTCAAAAAGACCTGAACGTATTACGGGCACATCTTGGGGCACATCGAGGGACACTCAGCTGGACCTCTACAAATCTCTTATCAGATCAAAAATTGACTATGGTTGTGAGGCTTTTCATTCAGCATCAAATACTGTCTTGAGGCGCCTAGACAGAATACAATACTCACCTGTACAGTGGGCACTGCGGTCATAAGTGAATTGTTCTCACCTGTACAGTGGGCACTGCGGTGATAAGTGAATTGTTCTCACCTGTACAGTGGGCACTGCGGTGATAAGTGAATTGTTCTCACCTGTACAGTGGGCACTGCGGTGATAAGTGAATTGTTCTCACCTGTACAGTGGGCACTGCGGTGATAAGTGAATTGTTCTCACCTGTACAGTGGGCACTGCGGTGATAAGTGAATTGTTCTCGCCTGTACAGTGGGCACTGCGGTCATAAGTGAATTGTTCTCACCTGTACAGTGGGCACTGCGGTCATAAGTGAATTGTTCTCACCTGTACAGTGGGCACTGCGGTCATAAGTGAATTGTTCTCACCTGTACAGTGGGCACTGCGGTGATAAGTGAATTGTTCTCGCCTGTACAGTGGGCACTGCGGTCATAAGTGAATTGTTCTCGCCTGTACAGTGGGCACTGCGGTCATAAGTGAAATGTTCTCGCCTGTACAGTGGGCACTGCGGTCATAAGTGAATTGTTCTCGCCTGTACAGTGGGCACTGCGGTGATAAGTGAATTGTTCTCGCCTGTACAGTGGGCACTGCGGTCATAAGTGAATTGTTCTCACCTGTACAGTGGGCACTGCGGTGATAAGTGAATTGTTCTCACCTGTACAGTGGGCACTGCGGTGATAAGTGAATTGTTCTCATCTGTACAGTGGGCACTGCGGTCATAAGTGAATTGTTCTCACCTGTACAGTGGGCACTGCGGTGATAAGTGAATTGTTCTCACCTGTACAGTGGGCACTGCGGTGATAAGTGAATTGTTCTCACCTGTACAGTGGGCACTGCGGTCATAAGTGAATTGTTCTCGCCTGTACAGTGGGCACTGCGGTGATAAGTGAATTGTTCTCACCTGTACAGTGGGCACTGCGGTGATAAGTGAATTGTTCTCGCCTGTACAGTGGGCACTGCGGTGATAAGTGAATTGTTCTCACCTGTACAGTGGGCACTGCGGTGATAAGTGAAATGTTCTCACCTGTACAGTGGGCACTGCGGTGATAAGTGAATTGTTCTCACAAGTGTTCAGTCGGAACGCGCACGTTACATCTCCAAAGTAAGTAAGTAAGTAACAAGTGTTCATTCTTGTGAAATTTGTTCACTACTTTATAATTATATGAAATTTACTGCCATAATTGATTTGATTGAAACTATACGACATCTCTCTCAGGCCCAGACCATCTTCTGCGATGGGACATTTGACATGTGTCCACAACTCTTCAGTCAGATCTACACCATACATGCATTTGTTGAAGACAAGATGTTCCCCCTTGTGTACGCCCTATTACCAGACAAAAAACAACAAACAAACACAAGCTTCTTCACTGTACTGGGCGAGAAGACGACCGAGATGACTGTCCTGCTACTGATGCCTGAAACAATATTCACAGACTTTGAATCATCCACCCAGAATGCCCTAAGAACTGTGTTCCCAACTTCCGAACTGAAGGGCTGTTATTTCCTCTTTGGACAGTGTATTTGGCGAAATGTGCAGAAGTTGGGTCTCCAGACTACATATTCAAGAGATCGGAATGTTTATCGTTTCGTGAGGCGAGCTGTTTCCCTTCCACTTGTTCCAGTCCAGCATATTGAAGATGTGTGTCTGAGTGCCCTTGAAGACGCCCCTCTGGAGGATGACCGAGTCCTGAAGTTTGCAGATTACGTCACCGACTACTGGGTAGAAGGTAACCAGGGTCGCCATATGTGGAACCACCACAACACAGTTGGACCTGGAACGACAAATCACGTGGAGGGGTGGCACAGCAAGATTGCGAAGGTATTGGGTGCGCCTCATCCAAATATTTTCAAGATTTTATCATTTTTCAAAGCCGAACAAGCGTACAGCGAGTCGACCATCCATCAGCTAGAGTCTGGTTGGAAAATTCGTCCAAGAAAGCGAAAGTACAGACAACTTGATGACAGACTGCGGATAGAGAAGCACGACCTGCAGAATGGCACCAAGACCATTCAACAGTTTGCTGATTCTGTGCATATCATGAAATTAAGGAAATAACATGTATATGTAGAATGATTTTGTACACATAATTGTACATGTAGAATGATTTTGTACACTTAATTGTTTTTGGATTGTTGTACAATATGTTTTTATTTTGCCAATAATAAATCATTATTTACATTTTTTTGTATGCTTATTTCAATATACTAGTATATTCATGGGTCTATACATGCACTGTGGCAAAGTGGGCACTGCAACCCTGATGGTGATACGGCCTAATCCCTTAATCCTTTGTTGTTATAAGATCCAAATTCAAAAGTGGGCACAGTGGGGGTAAACCTGTGTACATGCCAGCACAAACCTGTCAAGTTCTCCATCAAGATTCTCTGTTGACCCGGCACAGTTGCCTGCTCATGTTGTGTTGACTGAGCCAAACATTCCACAGGAGATAATGAATGGAGCACTAATACAAACTGTCTCAATGAAATGACTTTTGATTTTTTTCTGACTCAGTTGTAACCAGGTTGTACATGATCACAGGCAACAGCAACGGTTTATCATAAATAATAAGGTGGTCGGGTAGCCTAGTGGTCAGAGCGTTCGCTCGTCATGCTGAAGGCCCGGGTTCGATTCCTGACATGGGTACAATGTGTGAAGCCCATTTCTGGTGTCCTCCGGGATGATATTGCTGGAATATTGCTAAAAGCAGCGTAAAATCATACTCACTCATAAATAAATAATAACTTTTGAGTTTAGTACTCAACACACTGTTATCATCATGTATCAAAATGGCTTTGGTGAGATCAAACGATATCACCTTGCTAGGAGATATTGCTTCAATGAAATTACATCACAATGCTTTGTGGGCTATTGTGACATCATCTGTTACCATGACGGTCAAGTGACAATGTCTGCAACTGTAAATCTCCATGTAGCTGCCCATCTATTGTTTCAGACATTATGACCATCATGAAGTAAGTGGGTTTAGCATGTTTTTATTTCCAAAGAAATCTGGATCGGTAAACAAGCAAAACTTGCTCATGCAAATACCTCTCCAGTTAAAATACCACAAGTATTTGTTAGGGTGACATGGAGAGACAATTTGATAGTGAAAGATCCTGAAGTCAGTGGTCCGGATAATTTGTGAAGAACTGAGAGACTTGTTGATTATTTTGTTTTCTCTGGATATCAAATGGATTATTATAGTACACCAATCAAGCAAACATTCCCCACACTGCTACTGAGCTATCAAACAAGAAACAAATAAGTCCTGTAAATGTTCAAGAATGTCCTAATGATTAACAAAATCAGTGTTAACAACTTGGAATAATTAATGTCTGTGTTTTACATGCAACGATGACAAATTTACTTCGTTTTCCTTTTGTTGAATTCAAAACAGAAGTGTTGAGAAAATATGCATGTTTCCAATACAGTTACATGTCCAAATACCATCCTGGTCTGAAAGTGATTTGTAACAGATTCTTACACCAATCAGTTTTCAAATATGAATAATTATTTATTCACTTGTTTGCATAGACAAATACTCTTGTGTTCTCAAAATATTGATGAATAACACTTGTGTCATAATTTGCCTTAACTGTGAAACATCAAATGCCAGTTTTGGATGATATTCACCAGTTAAATCAACCAACCTTTCCAGGTGGGAAAGAAATCGATATGCATGCCATTACGTAAAGTCGACTGTCTATCATAATTTAATCAGTGCACACTAACCTCTTATTAATACAACATTTATCTGTGCATCATAATTAGCAATTTGTCTCTCACATTCTGCTCTTTTAATGTTTCAAAAGAAATTGTACAAAATATATGCAGCATCATATATCAGTATCATAACTGATGACAAAGTGAGACATGTTAAGAAATACTTGAAAGCAATTAATTTTCATTGGTCTCTTCAAGTCAACTCAATGTTCCAAACCTGAAGTAATGACAAATATTGTCGTAAGTAATGAGAACATATATGGATGAAAAACTTATTACTTCGTACTCCAACTTCTAAATGCCTCTCAAAGAAGGAAATATTGTCCTGATTAACATTAATCATAAAAGGACAAATTGTACTTTCATGGAATCTAACTCATACAAAATACCAAACTGTATTGTAGCAGAGTCATCCTGAACAACCTTGGCAATCATAATCAATGGAGGACCGTCACACTACAGAACCAGGTCACACTGGAGGACCATGTCACACTATAGGACCATGTCACACCATAGGAACATGTCACTATAGGAACATGTCACACTGCGAAACCGCATTATCAGTGGTTCATGTTGGGAAAGGGAGGTCACTCTAATTTCAAACGGGAGCTATCTCTGTTGTTTTCGTATTTGCGAGAAATGGCGTCACCCACGCTGTACGTTGTTGGCCCAGCTATTAAATGCCCAGCTTATCCCTGAGGTAAAATGTATTCTTAATTAAATGTTTGAATGCATTATATATTTATGTTTCCATCCGTACATCTTCTAAGATTGGTTTAGTGCTGATAACCATTTTCTTAAATGTGGGCTCACATTTTTCCCGTCATCTATGGTGATCGAAACAAGTGGGCCCACATTTGTATTTCGCCTAGCTTCGTAAGGTTGTTTCGTTAGTTCTGATAATCAATCTCTAAATGTGGGCAGACGTTCTTCCGTCATATTGATTGCAACAGGAGGGACAACATTTATTAATCACGAAATTCTACTTAAATATTGATAATCACACCAGAGAACCATGTCACACCATACTAGAGGACCATGTCACACTAAAGGACCATCTCACACTGTAGGACCATGCCACACTGGAGGACCATGTCACACTGGAGGACCATGTCACACTATAGGATCATGTCAAACTACAGGACCATGTCACACTATAAGACCATGCCACACTGGAGGACCATGTCACACTGGAGGACCATGTCACACTATAGGATCATGTCAAACTACAGGACCATGTCACACTATAGGACCATGCCACACTGGAGGACCATGTCACACTATAAGACCATGTCACACTATAGGATCATGTCAAACTACAGGACCATGTCACACTATAGGAGACCGCCTCCGTGGTCTTGTGGTAGAGCGTCCGCCCGGAGAGCAGAAGGTCCAGGGTTCGATCCCGGGCCGCGTCATACAAAAAGACGTTAAAAGATTGTACTTGTTGTTACCCTGTCTGGCGCTCGGCATTAAGGGGCTAAAACAAGGACTGGTCGGCTCGGAGTCAGTATACTGTGTCTGAGTGGGGTATTCATGTTAAACTGCGGCATGGTATCTCAGTGAGCTAGCACTATAAATCGGCATCAGTCCGGACTAGTACAAGCAGCCACACACACACATACACGTGCATGCACGTCGCTATATAAGTGCAATAATCTTGGACGCGACGTTAAACTCAATTTCACCTCACCTCACACTATAGGATCATGTCATACTGGAGGATCATGTCATACTGGAGGACAATGCCACACTGGAGGATCATGTCATACTGGAGGACCATGTCACACTATAGGATCATGTCACACTATAGGATCATGTCACACTGGAGGATCATGTCACACTATAGGATCATGTCATACTGGAGGATCATGTCACACTATAGGATCATGTCATACTGGAAGATCATGTCATACTATAGGATCATGTCACACTATAGGATCATGTCATACTGGAGGATCATGTCATACTGGAGGACAATGCCACACTGGAGGATCATGTCATACTGGAGGATCATGTCACACTATAGGATCATGTCATACTGGAGGACCATGTCACACTATAGGATCATGTCACACTATAGGATCATGTCATACTGGAGGATCATGTCATACTGGAAGACCATGTCACACTATAGGATCATGTCAAACTGGAGGATCATGTCACACTATAGGATCATGTCATACTGGAGGATCATGTCACACTATAGGATCATGTTATACTGGAGGATCATGTCATACTATAGGATCATGTCATACTGGAGGATCATGTCACACTATAGGATCATGTCATACTGGAGGATCATGTCACACTATAGGATCATGTCATACTGGAGGATCATGTCATACTGGAGGACAATGCCACACTGGAGGATCATGTCATACTGGAGGATCATGTCACACTATAGGATCATGTCATACTGGAGGACCATGTCACACTATAGGATCATGTCACACTATAGGATCATGTCATACTGGAGGATCATGTCATACTGGAAGACCATGTCACACTATAGGATCATGTCACACTATAGGATCATGTCACACTGGAGGATCATGTCACACCATAGGATCATGTTATACTGGAGGATTATGTCACACTATAGGATCATGTCACACTATAGGATCATGTCATACTGGAGGATCATGTCATACTGGAAGACCATGTCACACTATAGGATCATGTCACACTATAGGATCATGTCACACTGGAGGATCATGTCACACTATAGGATCATGTTATACTGGAGGATCATGTCACACTATAGGATCATGTTATACTGGAGGATCATGTCATACTATAGGATCATGTCATACTGGAGGATCATGTCACACTATAGGATCATGTCATACTGGAGGATCATGTCATACTGGAGGATCATGTCACACTATAGGATCATGTCATACTGGAGGATCATGTCATACTGGAGGACCATGTCACACTGGAGGATCATGTCACACTATAGGATCATGTCACACTGGAGGATCATGTCACACTATAGGATCATGTCATACTGGAGGGTCATGTCACACTATAGGATCATGTCATACTGGAAGATCATGTCATACTATAGGATCATGTCACACTATAGGATCATGTCATACTGGAGGATCATGTCATACTGGAGGACAATGCCACACTGGAGGATCATGTCATACTGGAGGACCATGTCACACTATAGGATCATGTCACACTATAGGATCATGTCACACTGGAGGATCATGTCACACTATAGGATCATGTCATACTGGAGGATCATGTCACACTATAAGATCATGTCATACTATAGGATCATGTCACACTATAGGATCATGTCATACTGGAGGATCATG